TGACAGCATGGCTCAGTTGCTTGGGCATTGTCCCACAAGGCAAAAGGTCACTAGTCCAATCCTTGCTCAGGGCACATGCCTGGGCTGCTGGCCTGTCCCCAGGTAGGGCTCGTGTGAGGGGCAACCAATTGATGTTTCTGTGTCACATCGATGTTTATCTTCCTCTCTTCCTACCTTCCCCTCTCTCTAAATAAATAAATAAATACAATCTTTTAAAAATAAATAAATAAAACATTCTTCCTCCGTTGCCTGCTAAAATTTGTGGCTGGAGCATTAGTGTAAGTAAAGGCTTCTTTTTCCTTCCTATTTCCATTGTTTCATATATTCGATGAACACTGCAATCCTACAGGCCCTGTCTTTACTCTTCCAGTTTTAAAAACTGGGGATCCCAGGTTAGTAGTGTGGCAAAACATAGTCTCAGAAATTGCTTCTAAGTGAAGTCGATGAACTTGACTTCTTTTAGAATATAGGTAACTGAGTCTTCTTAGTTCTCAGCTTGAGAGATTCATTGTTGATTAAAGGGCAATAGGGAAAACACTGCTTAATATACAGATATGTAAGTATTTATTACCTTTTTCCTTCTTTGAAGAATAAAGAATAATTTTATCTCGAGAAGCTCACCCACGTCACTTTATTATTCCTACAGTAACACAAACCAAATTCAAGGGAAAAGTCTTTATCCCTTTGATATAATTAGTTTTATACTAAAGAAAGTAAATGTAGTTGCATAGTGAACTTGGAAATATTTGTGTACTAATCAGGATATAGAGCATAATAACTCTCTTTCTTACCACTAAAGGTTGAGCTCAGTCAGCAAGCCAGTTAGCTAATTCCCCACCAATTCCAGAGGATCCCAGAATGTATGAATGTTTAAACTGATGGGGTCAACAATTTTGCTTAATCATTCATTTTCCTTTACTTGTGGGTGATTTATCAATGATCAGATCTTTTAGCTTGAGGATTAAATATGCAAATATGCCTCTCATCATCTCATTTTTCTTTACATCAAAGCTTACCCATCTCTCTATTTTAAAAAGTTCTGTACCATCTAAATATACTATCAGGTTAACCAAAAAGTTTGTTTAGTTTTTTCCATATGATGGCCCTAGTTGTGCTTAGTTGTCTTTAACTTCATTCAAAATAACTTTGTTAGATTGTATTGTGACAGCTGTCATATCAGCATGCATTAACAAAAAACACCCAAATTGGTGATTTTTGTGTAGGCATTTTAATATTGGAGATGGAAGAAAACATACAATATATTCAGCATATGATGCTTAATTATTTCAAGAAAAGTAAAAATGCAACTGAAGAGCAAAAAAATTGTGCAGTATATGGAGAAGGTGCTGTGACTTATCAAATGTGTCAAAAGTGGTTTGCAAAATTTCTTGGTACTATTGACATTTTGGCCAAATAATTCTTTGTTGTGGGGCTGCTTAATGCATTGGAAGATGTTTAGCACTACCCCTGGCCTCTACCCACTAAAAGCCAATAGTAGGAGATAGCCAGCATTCTCAAAATATTCAAATCAATAAAGTCATTGGTGAAAGTGAAAATGTGTCTTTTATTTTATGGAAAAAATTAAATGGAATTTTTGGTCAACCTTATAGAAGGGAAATATAAGGAAAAATTTTAAACTGTTTAAAAGAATTTATCTCCTTTGTATTAAATTTTAGATTAAATTATTTGATTTTGAACTTGAAATTAGAGAAAGCATATTTTATAACTAACTTGGTTTTGTCATTCATCATCTATCTATTTTGACATGCTATGAGTCTTTACATCATAGCATTAATTTATAAATTAATATTTTGGTCAGGACATTTATTCTCTTGAAGATGTATTTTGAACTACACTTACATGGTACTAGATATTAATAGCCCTTTTTGTGCTTTTGAATTGTTATAGAATATATAAAAATCTGTATAATTACTATTATCTATGTAGAGATCCATAAAAATTTAATTTTGATTCTAATGATCACTTTTAAATATAATCACATTAATATTTAAATTATTATTAATTTTAGATGTTAGTAAGAACAAAATAATGAAATATTTGACAAAAAATGTATGTACTAAAGGAGGGCCCATTTTATTGTTTGTTCCTTCAAAATTGCATATACAAATAATTTTATCTTCAACATGTCATTTATTATAAACTAGAAGATAACATGTTTGTTAAGAATTGCCAGGAGTATCTTAAGCCTTGAGTCATATTTTATCAAATATTTGAAAAGCTGTAAAATAATTGGTTTAGTTTTTTATCCTGGAATGGGATTTTGTTTTAGTAGACCTGTATTGGTAAATGAGAATGGAAATTACTTAGCTTTAGAAACTAGTTTTGTAGATTTTTTTTTTTTTAGAATTAAAATAATGAATCAGGAGTGTATAACCTTCCCAGCATAACTAGTGACAACATCACAATCACTTTAGTTTGGATCTGGGGAGAGACACTGAAAAAAAAAAAGGTAGATTCTCTAAGCCAGGGGAGAAAACCTGACAAAATGATGGACAGCACTGCCGTATTGTAGGTGATCTATAGTGATGTCTGGATTTTGAACCATTGTATATTTGTAGGTCATTCTAAAAGCAAAATTATTGAAAGGTACTTTTTCATTAACATGAAATTTTATTTTGGACATGAACTGGTAAAATTAAGTACTCTATTAATTATTACACAGGCTAAGCTGCTATAAAAATATGCTAAAATATGGCAACTTAAACTTATTATATAAGGACGTAGGAGTTGGTGTACATCTAATGTGTTAGCTCCATGTCAATAAATAGCTTCAATTTATAGATCCGAGGCTCTACTGTCACTTTCTCCTAGCAAAAGTGGAGAGAAAAATGGTCAAGAGAAGACCAATTCCAACCATTTAATTGGCAAGACCCAGAAATGTCACAATTCACTTCTCTTCACATCCCAATGGACACTATTTATACACAGGGCTATAGCTAACTGTAAGTGGAAGCAGAACTACAATCTTTATTATTGACTGGCACAACTGGCTTATCCCCACAATTGCCAATAAAATCTGCTGTGTCACACCTTGATATCTCTCTTTTTGATATTTCACATCAAAGGTAAAACATCTCACTCCAGCAATTATAGTGCAAGTACTGTATTTTATATTTTGAAACATTTAGACAGCTTAGTACAGTTTTGTAGAGCATTTCAACATGTATTTCTGTATGCTAACTTCTGTAACTTTCTTTACTGGATATTGTACTATTCAAATTAAGGTAGAAAGTCATTCCAATCATGAACTTGGCATTAGATGCAATGAGAATGCATACAATGGAATAATTATCACATGTTATATAACTTTTTAATGTTAATATACATACAAAACTTTCTAGGCACAGCTCACAATGTTAAATATGATTAATTATTCGAAACACTTCTCTTTCACACATCCATAGCATTATTTAAATATCTTTTGGAATTTCATTTCCTAGTTTAAACATCTTTTAATGTCTTAGTCAGGCACTGTCCAATATAACTTTCTGTGAGGACAGAAATGTTCTAGAACTGCAATGACCAATACAGTAGCTATGGAAGCTTTTGAGTACTTGTAATGTGACTAGAGTGACTAAGGAACTGAACCTTACACTTGATTTCATCTTAATGAATTTAACTCTAAATACACCCATGTAACCAGTAGTTGCCATATTAACACAGTTAGTCACTGCCTGCTCCATCTACAAACTTATTTCCACTGTATCTACTTTACTGCATAATATTACTCCTGAAACATGCTCAAATGAATTTAGGCACTTAATGTTTATGAGTCGGTGCTTTATTTCTTGGAGGAGAAATTCTGTATTTTCAGTGTGACTGTATTCTAGCTTTAAAAACATAATCACTATGTAATATTTACTGAACACAATATATGTCTGGCACTGTTTTTAGCCACTTATATGTGACATATCATTTCATTATTACAAGAAAGTTATAAATATCACCATTTTGTAGATGGATAAATGGACAAAATCACAGGTTAAAATTTTCCCTACGTCAAATAACTAGTAGGTGGCTGAGCTAGGGTGTGAATGCCAAGCAAACTGGCTTCAAATCTCAAGCTCTCACTCCATTCTTTACTCTGTCATCATTCTGGAGAGTGAGGTTTTCATCAGTAGTTCTCTTTATTCAAAATGCATCACAGTGGGGGCGTTTCTAAAAGCTGATTTGTGTATGCATACTGTCAGAAACTATTGCCTCTGGCAAGAGGTAAGAGAAAAGAGTGGGCAATTTCTCTTCCTTTTCTGTCTCAGTTCACTGAGCAGCATTTGTGTTTGTAAAAAAATATGATCCAAAATGTCCCTTACTTTTGCTTGCACTGGGATCTTATTTTATCAGAATGATACTAAAAAATTTAGTAAATATAAGTGATCATGAACAGGTGCTTTATGTTTGCTTTTATTATTACAAAAGATTATTCAAATTTTTCTCTGTAAACTAACAGAAAGAATTCTAAAGTAGTCAGGATCAATTATTTTCAAAGGGCTATAATGTTCGGATTTAACTCGGGTCAATTATCTGAAGTTAAAATTACTTAGAAGCATACTGTCCATAATTAAGTAATCTCACCTACTAATATTACAGAATAAGGTGACATGAAATCTGTCATTTTAAGTATGCCCCTAAGCCTTTTCCAGATTGCTCATAAGATTTCTCATTCTCCAGAGAAATGCAATCTCAAGGAAATAAATGTCTCTGTCAAGTCACAAGTAATATGAGTACATGATGAAAAAAATGGAATTTCTTATTCTCATAAGGGATATTACAGTTTTGTAAAATTGACTTTTTCCTTGTTATTTAAGTTCTCATGCTCATTTTAGGATTTGCCTTTTTGATATAAAGGGAAGGTTATGCTGCCTCTTAGGGAGGTGGGGGTCAGAGGCCTTTGGGGACCAGGAGAATATTTTTCATATGAAATTCTTTGTCACAAAATGCTAATGTTGGTGTTCTTGTCTTTATGTCTATGCATTCTTTAGCTATGAGGATAACAGACCCTTCATCAAGTAAGAATGACCTGAATGGCTGATAAATTCTGTTTATCAGTGTGGTCCCATGAACCAGCTGTCAGATCCGTACTAAAAAGTCATTAGAGCTTCTGTCATTCACATTGAGGCAGAAGAGCAAACTGTGCAGGAAAAAAACAAAACAAAACAGGCATACAACTTCTTTGCAGAATTAATATGCTGCAGGTGTACTACCAAAAAAATTCTGCTTCACCTTTTTTAATTGGACATCACCTGTGTTCAGTGCCTCAGTATTAGCAGTTCATGTGGTACAGACTGGTCACACTGTTAATAGCTTTCTCTTTTTGTTGTGATGTGTTCCCCTGTACTGCATTATGTCCTCCCTTCTGTTGTTTGGTTGGACATCATCTAAAATTATTTCTTGATATTTTCAAAGTGATCTATGGGTATGAAACTACCTAATTGCAATTGGTATTAATGACTTTCTATATTACATACCCAAAAAGGAGAAACATGCTTCCTTGAAAAATTAAATTTTACATTTCTAATATTATCTCATTCAGTTTGACACATCACTTGATTCATTATTTAATTGTTTATAAATGTATTTTTTAAATTTCTGAAGCAAAGATACAAGTCTGTACTAATCAAATAAAAATGAACATAAATGTTAATATTTGGGTTTTTTATTTGAGCATTTGAAAATTATATGTCCTGCAACAATAAACATTTAAGATTGGCAACCTCTGGGTGACCTTGTTCTAGACTTTCAGTTTGTTCTTCTGGTGAAGAGTCCTTTGTTTTCATTTTCCCCAATGCCATTTCACTTATTTTTTCATGCACTTGCTTATTTTTTTCCTGAGAAATTGGGCTCATAGAAGTTTTATATTATTAACTCCTGGGACCATAATGCATCTTCTAGTGGATAATAGCGATTTGTCTGATTTAATGGCGATTCTTCCCATTTTTCCTTTTTTCCAATGTCTGTAAGAAGCTGGGAGCTTTACCTTGAAAGTTCCCATATTTGGATCTAAATTGTAGAATAAAATATGAATATCCAAGATGTTTTCTAAAACATAAGCCAACATGCCACATACAATTGCAAGCCTCCTTTAGGTATTCTTTATTCAAGAATTGTCAGTGTTCTAAATTACACATGTTAACTTTAGTGGATCTTTAAATCTGAAATACAGTGGCTCATGTAAAAGAAAAATGGTAAATATTTGAGATTAATTTGAATAAGACTTATAATATTTGACTACTTTGGGACCATATCTTTCTTAAGATGTAATTCTCTTTGAAAACTTTATTAAACCCAGCTTCAACTATGGCAAACATATGTGATTTTGTACCTCTTCATTTTGCAAAGTTTATATCCCCATAAATAGTCTTCCCTTAGTGTAAGTGGAGGATAATAGTCTGGTGAAAATAAATATTAGTGTCCCCTATTCAAGGAAGGTAGGTGGCTGGGAAAGCAAAGGTGGGTTGTTTTCATGAGTGTATAGCAATCTAGACTGGTTTGGTCCTATTTGCCTATATACTTTGCAGTTGAGATGTATTCCATTTTCAGTTATTGATTTCTTGTCTATTGGAAATATTTATTTTATATTGATAGTAAATACATAACACATAACCACAAATATATAGACTTTTGCTACTGGTTGTTTACTGTTGTGCACAGCTTGGAGGAAACTAGGGGAATGGAGTGCGATTGAGAATTTGTCTTCCTTTCTAGACTACTTTGTTCATACCACTCCATCCCCATTCTCAGCTTCATTTTCTTCCTTGAATTTACAGACACTTCAAAGAAGTGAAGGTGCCCTGAGCCTTTAAGCTTCTGTTCAACAGCACTTCCAATTACCTGATTTCCGAAGTCTAGTCCAACATTATATATTTATATATATGAATATATGTGTATATATGTATGTATCTATATGCATATATGTATGCATATATATGCATATGTGCATGTATATTCAGAGAGAGAGAGAGCAATCCAAAGGCTGAAAGAAAGTAGATCATGACCTGGAATGGAGCTATTTTTTTCTCCATCCACAATACCTCACACATATTCTACATAACTATGGTATCAAGTGGAACTTTTAATATTCATATATGTATTCCATATACGTACTGGTTCTTTCAAAATTTCTGTTTTTTATCAGTAAACACTAAAATTTTTATGGAAAAGAGGAAATATGGAAAAATGGGGCAAAAGGGTATCAGTCGATGCACTAATGGAAAGAGATCAATCAAACAAATGTCATCATACCAATGAGACCAGTGGAGACACTCATAGCTTTATAGACTTTTCCCCCTTGTCATGCATCCTAATTACATCTCCATATCATTTGCATATGTGCTGCAAATACGTGAATAATTTAACAGTACAAATCTGCTTCGGCTTAAATGAATTTCTGTGTTTATAACATTTTCATGTATTTGTCCTTAAACTTGAAAACTTGCATCACCATGAAAACGTTAAAGTACTTATTACCACCTGTCTTACATTTTCTGTGAATGAAACTTACTGTAACATTATTTTTTAGTGTCAGTTCTCTTGGTATGATATGATTCTGTTAATTAAGGACCAATTATTTGATAACCTTTAATTTTCTCTTCTCTCTACAGGTCATGGGTTATAGGTGCAATAGCTCTTCTCTGCCTGTTAGGATTGACCTGGGCCTTTGGACTCATGTATATTAATGAAAGCACAGTCATCATGGCATATCTCTTCACCATTTTCAATTCTCTACAGGGAATGTTTATATTCATATTCCATTGTGTTCTACAAAAGAAGGTAAGCTAGATTCCTCTATTTAAGAATAAATGACCTACCTCCCATGCTGGCAAAGCAACCATAACAAAACCATTCCTGATATGTTTGTCTCTAAGAAGTAGATCACTTCATTGGTTTAATCTTTAAAAAATATAAGCATAGTAGTGTTAGTACATGTGGTTAACCTAAGAAAACAAAAACAAAATATTTTTTATTTGGACAGTGCACAAAAAGTATATTCTTGTAGACTTGAACTTACAGTCTTTAATATTCTTATTGGAAGATACATGAAATTGGCATAATAAGAAGTAGCTTCTCTAAGATGTTATGGAGTCATAGTATTTACATGCATGTACATATATATACATTATATATAAATTATGTATACATATATGTGGCATGGCATAAGGAATATATACATTAGTTTCTTTAAAAACTAGTTTTATATACTAGAAAATATACATTTCTAAACATTTTATGATAACATGACATTTCTATTTTTTGAATGAATGATGTAGTACTTAGTAATGGTCTCTACTTTTCTTCCAAAACATCCTTTATACAATGTAGGAATTGGATGATATAGAATGCAATAAATAATTTTTACAGTAGTATACTTTTGTGATTTTTCACATCTACAAGGACCTAAAATATTCATTGTCAAAGTTAATTTTAACAACTAAATACTTTTATTGCATTTTTTAAATCTCAAGATATACTATTTAACTCTATTAAAAATGTGGTATTCATAGTTATGATCAAACAGACCTCCAGCTAAGACTGTCCAGTCAGAATCCTAGTTCCTCCATTTAAAGTGTATGTGACTTAGGCAGAGTAATTAGCCTTTATGCTCCAGCTTCCTCATGTGCAAAATGGGGTAGTAATTAGGAGATATTAAGAGGTGACTCTGCAAATGAAATAGCAAAATGTGAACATTTTTTCTAAGAAATAAACAAAAATAATTATGTTTTTAATACAAAGATAATAAAGGGTAAAGATGTCTCTCTCTTTAGAATTTTGGTTTGAGAGTCTAGCAGCATGAGAAACAAAAGTTGAAAAGATGTCTACAAATACACGTCACTAGTATAGCTGGATTGCATTTGATGTCCAGGTATAGATCACCATTCAAAACCAAGTCTTATGTTTTTAGTATATGCGACTTATTTAACATAATTGAAAAAAGTTTAAAAATGTGTAATCAAACTCAATTTTGTTATTCATTCCTTAGAACAAAGTTCAGCAAATTACAGCTTTTTGGCCAAATTTATTCAGCTTCCTTTAATTTTTAAAGCCTATCAGCCAAAAATGACTTGTACATTTTAAATGGTCACATTTAAAATTTAAAATAAGTACATAAAAAGATCCTTGGTTTTGCCTCTTGGCTTACAAAGCTTAAAATACTGATTGCCTGGCCCTTCATGAAAAAAATTACCAGGCTTTTATACAGAAGCTTACTTTTATGTTTTGTAATAACATGTATTAGCATATTGTTCTTTCATTCATTCTGTGTTTGGAATTTTTTTTCAATTTTTGTGACACTTTTATTGGCTTCAAGAACACAGCCTAAATCAAAGAACATGAAGAACACAGAATTTTCCCCTTTTTTTCTACAAAAAGAAAATGTACTTCTTTTTTAAAATTGCAGAAATGGTCTTAGGAGATTTTTCTTTTATTCTTTTCTTTTAAATTGAGATATAATTAAAATATACATTCTATAAATGTAAGATTTACAGTGTATTCATTTGATACACATATATGTTGCAAAATGATGACCCTTGGAGTGTTAGCTAATACCTCCATCACCTCACATAATTACTTTTTTTGTGGTGGTGAGAACATTTAAGATCTCTTTTCTTAGCAACTCTTAAATATATCATACTGTATTGTTAACTATAATCATCATCTTGTCCATTAGATCCCCAAACTTGTTCATCTTTGACCTAGCTCATACCATTTGACCAACATCTCCACATTTTCCCACCCCCAAACTTCTGGTAACCACCATTCTACTCTGTTGCTATGAATTCAACTTTTTTAGATTCTACATGTAGGTGAAGTCATACAGTATTTTTCTTTCTCTGTCTTATTTCACTCAGCATAATGCCCTCTAGGTCTACCCATATTGTTGCAAATGGCAGGATTTCCTTCTTTCTCCTGGCTGAAAAATACTCCACTGCGTACATGTAGCATGTTGCCTTAACCATTCATTTATTTATAGACACTTTGGTTGTTTCCATATCTTGGCCATTGTGAATAATGCTGCAGGAAACATGGAGTGAATATATCTCTTCGAGAACCTGATTTTATTTCTGGGATATATACCCAGCAGTGGAGTTGCTAGGTCATATGGTAGTTCCATTTTTTATTTTGTGAGAAATCTCCATACTATTTTTCATAGTTGTGCCAATTTTTGTTACCACCAACAGTGCACAGGGGCTCCCTTTTCTCCATATCTTCACCAACACTTATCTCTTGTCTTCATGAAGATTACCATTCCAACAAATGTGAGATGATGTCTCATTGTGGTTTTTATTTGCATTGCTCATATTAGTGATTTTGAGCATCTTTCATATTGGCCATTTGTATGTCTTCTTAGAAAAAAAACTATTTGTTTCCTCTGTCCATTTTATTACTGGATAGTTTGGGGATTTTGCTATCTATTTGTATGAGTTTGTTATAAACTTTGGATATTAGCCCATTATCAGGTATATTATTTGCAAATATTTTCTTCCATTGTATAAACTGCCTTTTCTTTTGTTGATTGTTTTTTATTGTCTAGAAGCATTTTAGTTTGATGTAATGTCACTTATTAATTGTTGCTTTTTGTTATGCTTTTGATGCCATATTCATAAAATCATTATGAAGACCAATGTCCAGGGGCTTTCCCCTCTGTTTTCTTTTCTCTTAGGACTATTATGGTTTCATGTCTTATGTTTAAGTCTTTAATCCATTTTTAGTTAAATTTTCTGAGTTGTGTAAGATAGGGGTTCAATTTCATTTGTCTGCATGTAGTTATCCAGTTTTCTCAACATTATTTATTGAAGTAATTATTCCTTCCCTACTGAGCATTCTTGGGTTCATTGTCAATTATTAGTTAACTATATACACAAGGTTTTATTTCTGGGCTCTCTATGTTGTTGTTGCATGTGCCTGTTTTTATAACAATGCCATACTGTATTACTATAGCTTTATGGCATGCTCGCATATCAAGAAGTATGATACCTGTAGCTTTGTTCTTTTCACAATTGTTTTGGCTATTAAGGATCTTTTGTGGATCTATACAGATTTTAGGATTTTTTTTTCTAAGTCTGTGAAAAATACTATTGAACTTTTGATTGCATTAAATATAAACATGGCTTTGGGTAATATAGATACTTTAAAACCATAATTCTTTTAGGAAGTTTTTCTTAAGCCATCTGATTGAATTTCAGCAATATGCCCCTGCTACTGTAATTGCTCATATGTTTTCATTAGAGAAATATAAAATATTCCCTTTGTGAGATATTTTGGTTTATAAGATTCAACTCATTAGCAAAGTTAAACTCTGAGTTGTGGTTTGTTGTTCAAAGCATCAATTGCATGTTTGTGTCACTAGTATTTCCACTGGTGACATTAAAGTTGTCAGTTTTTCTTTTGTTATGCATTCAATTATGTGTTACATCTCAGAGGGTTTTATGATTATTTTATTTCTGACCTGAATGTATAAAAGAAATGTCCCATTGGTAAGGCATATTTTCTTTCCCATCTTCTTAATCTAAAACAACCTCATATTAAAAGAATAACATATTATATATGATTCAGGTAAGGTGGAATATCAGGTGGATTAGAATACACAAATGGTTAAATAATCAAATAACTTTTATTGTAGTCTAATGATAAATATCTCATGGGCATGGTCCAGTAAGTAATATAAGTTCAATGTGGGACTCAGCATCACTAGATATCTTGACTTGCTGGTTGTTTATATAGTCAGCTCAGAACATTTAAACTTTGCTCGAAAATGTAAATAGTCCATGATGAATTCCTGTGGCATATTCAATACTGCTGCCTTTGTAACAGGAAGGGAAGTGGTTCTCTTTCTCTTTACTCTCTCTTTTGTCTCTCTCTCTCTTTTCTAAAATATTTGTTTAGATTTAAATCACTTTATAAAAAAATACTTTCTCATCTAAAAAGAATATCCCTGGTGGAGTATATGAGAAAAACAAAGTAGGATTTAGGTTCTGATCAAAGTTGAGGTTCTTGGAGATGCTTCATAAATTCATTACAAATTCTAAACTATAATTGATAGTACCTACCTTTGAGTAGAGGTAATTTTAAGGTCTGTCAAATCTAATTAAAGCAGTAGTCCTTATTTTTTTCCAGATGCAGAAAAGGAAATAACCTAATGGATCACTTTAGTAATAATGTTATTAATATAGAATGCTTTATTCAGTCATATATTAATGTTACAAATGTGGTCCCTGAGAAAGAATTTTCTGATTATAAAACATCCATGAAATTTGGATTTTATTCACATAAAACACATTGCTTAACCTATTTGTCTTTCAGGTTACTTTTATTACTTAACATTTTCATTGTTACTTATCTGTAAAATGTAGATAATAATTATTTTCCAGAGTTATTAAGAGGGCAGGGTCTAGTATAATCCCTGTGACTTCATGATCAAAAATTAGAAGCTTCTTTATCCCACCCTTCCAAACTCACACATATCCTGGGCACACGTATGTGGGTCGGGCTTATTTATTTTAATAAAGTAAACAAAACATGAATTGGCTTGTAAACACTGAAAACAAATAATTATTTCTAATTAGTAATAAATGTAGCATGGAAGAGACTGATTTGAAAACAGATCAATGTCATTTTAAATATACTAAAGAATATATAATTTGACATTCCATACCAGAAAAAGGCCTCACACATAGGTACATCATGTCTCTCTGATTTGCTCATGCTGTCCTAAACACTTGGAATGCCTTCTTGTCTCATCAATTTCTTCTTTTAACTTCATCCTCTAAACTGGCTAATACGGACATAGATTTTGAAGATTCTCTGAGAAGTCCTCTTCTCTCAGAAGCCTTCTCCTTCCCCCCGCCTGTTGTCAGCAAGCCCGCCTCCCTGCTTTGATTCGCCTGACTCCGTCATTGTGCCTATCACAGAGTAATCACACAATATATGTAGAAGTCCTTCAAATAAATCTGAACATACTCTGTCTCTGATTTGCTATAGTTTTAACCGAGTGAGCTTTAGGATATTAATACATAATATTTTAGGTTTGATTACTAATTTTAATATATCATTCATACTTTATTTTAGTTTTAATTAGAAATAACATTTTTCAAAATGAATATATTTATAATTTGAAATAAAATTACATTGGAATATTACATTGTTACAGTTGGGGAAGTATAAACTCATATGAAATCAGTGTATAAAGAGCTAAGAATAACCTTTTACAGTGTTACTTCATAATGAATGTAAATTTATGGCTGTAAAACCAACTGATCACATGTTCCAGGATGTAGTTTCAGGTAGTGAACCTGTAGTTAGAATTATTTTTGTTGATGTTGATGGTAGAGGTATGATTTAGGTCAGTTACTATTTATTTTTCTACATCTTGTTTGATTAAATAGGCAATAACACAAAATTTAAATATGATAAAAGTTATCCCAAAATTGTTGATGTAATAGTTTCCTGATTGAAAACATCCACTAAAAATGCTTATCTTAAGCCCTGGCTGGCATAGCTCAGTGGATTGAGCGCAGGCTGTGAACCAAAGTGTCCCAGGTTCGATTCCTAGTCAGGGCACATGCCTGGGTTGCAGGCCATGGCCCCCAGCAACCACACACTGATGTTTCTCTCTCTCTCTCTCTCTCTCTTTCTCCCTCCCTTCCCTCTCTAAAAATAAATAAATAAAATCTTTAAAAAAATGCTATCTCTCTTTTCCTGTGATTTTATATTGTAACCATGATTAAGAATTTAATCAGCAATTCCATAAAGCAAAGCAATCACATTTCTCTGTGATTGCTGAATAAAAACTATTTTGAGAAAATAAATGTAAAATATTTAATCTTATATTCTGAAGTTGCAATTTTGATCTCTTTTAAAAGAAATGACCTTCAAAGAAATATAGATTTAAAAAAATGCTTAAGCCCAATACATTCCTTTTTTTCTGTATTTAAATATTCCCTCTCTTCTTTTTCCCCCACTCCTCCCTCCCTTTCTCTATCCCTACTTCTCTCTATACATTCCTCATTACACTTCTGTGTAAAGTCAGTTGCACCAATAGCATACTTCATATTAAATTTATGAACCTAAAAATAGTGGCCAGAGGATTCCTACATTTTGGTTCTTTGAACTAAGAGGTAGTATTGTTGTGGTGTGATTAGATGTGTGTGTATGTTTGTGTGTGTGTTAAAGTTTGCAAAATTTCATGCTTGACGGTATGAATATCATTATTCTATATTGTAAAAATATGCTGAACAGACTTTCTTGTTTCTGTAGGGCAAGGAATTATATCATCTAAAAGTAAAACCCATATATTTTATACCATAGTTCCTAGCAGAAATGAATGACTCACTAACAAAAGCTAATATTTAATTGGCTAGGTAAGGAAAGAGTACGGGAAGTGCCTGCGGACGCATTGTTGTAGCGGCAAAAGTACAGAGAGTTCCATCGGCTCAGGGAAAACATCTGGTTCTCGGACTCCTGGGCGCTACTCTACAGGCTCACAGGTAAACCATGGTTGCTAATTAAAGTGAAATATCTTCTACCAATATTTTCTTATGAGTTGCTGCCCTTCCTTGATCAGCTCTAATTTCTACCCCAAGTGTTTGCACATCGACTGAATGACACAAATTTAAGAAACTAAATTGCAATAAAATCATGAAATGTAGGGTCTCTGTGTAATTAATGACATCAGATTGATTCAGCTGAATGAGTATATAGGTAAGGAAAGGAATTTGGTACTTCAATCCAAATTATAAGAAAATAATATTTTATATGTGGGATCTTAATTGCATCTTTTAGCCAGTGTAATAATTGGTATCACATACTGAAAATATTTACTTATTAAATGGTATGTTTAGTAAAAAAAGTTATAACTCATACCATATTGTTCACTAATTACTTGAAGAACAAGTCAGGGTAGTAAAGGATACTATAACAGCTTATGTTTAAACTTGTCTAAATGCTGTTCCATCAGTCCAGCACTAGATAGAATGGCTGCATTGTCCCCCACCAGGGAATCTGTAAACTTTTAGGTAACCTGCCAGCCATCTTCCCAGGCAACAGAACATCTAGAGCATCTACTGCCAAGCCCTTAAGGCAGCCAAGAACTAACAAATTCCAGAATAGAAAGAATGTCATTGGTTAAGTAGATGAGAAAATGAGTGGGAGACGAATTCAAAGGAAAAGTCTAAAGACAGATCCATGAGCATGTAAGAATAAATCTTATTTTGATTACTTTAGAAAGCAAGCGGAATGCTTTTTTAAAAAAGGAAGTGACAGGATATCATGAAAGTCACGTGATTACTATGTAAATAATGGGGGAAAATCCATTGACAAGACAAAAAAGTGAAAATTCTATCCACCTGTTGCTCCTCTATACGTACTCCCTGTCTAATCACTTTTTAAAGTTTGGCAATATCTATAATCACAAAATTGTATTCACTGAGAAGTGTATAGGATTGGTGTGAGTGTGTGTGTGTAAAAATTATGAGTGAAGTATTGTCCTCCTCACTTTGGCCTTCCTTTAATTGTTGTCATTTATCTTTTATTTTCATTGACCTTTTAGGTGTATTTACTTTTATTGTATGATATTTGATATTTTAAAATGTATGTAACATTTATTAAATGAGAAGCATAGTAATAAAATGAACACTTGTGCATCAACATCCAGGCTAAAAAAGAGAGCATTTTCCAGAAGTCTGCTTTCCTCTTTCTTGAAACTCTTCCCCAATCAATACCTATGCCATTCCACCAGAGAAAAACTTCTAACTTTTGTTTTTCTTTTTTTTTTACTTATTTTAATAGCTTTTCCATCTCCAAAAAGGATGCTACTTAGTATAGCATTTTTAATTCTTTATTTTAAGCAATACCTTATAATATGTAGTCTTCTGTACCTTGCTTTTTTTTTTAACCTCCATATTCTAAGCCTCACTCTGGTTCATTCCATGAATTTTTAAATGTTGGCTTTATGCTACATACTATATTTTTTTTTCTTCTGCCAGTGATACTTTTTCCCTTTCCTTATTTTCATATTTAATTATTGTTTTATGTAGTAGAGAGAGCTAAGTTGTTAGCTTCCTAGAACCTGAGGTAAATAACTGAATTCAAACACGAGTTATTCCACTTCCTAGCTCTATAACATTGGACATTTTAATTAGCCTCTGAATTTCAGATGAAGCTAATGAATAAAAGAGTACCTATTCCAGGGAGTTTTTCTGAGGTTTCAAAGAGTGAATCCATGAAAAACCCATACAGTCATGCCTTGGTACTCGTTAATTCATTCTGGAACAGGTGACAAGGGCCGAAACCAACGAGTACTGATGATGAAGTGCTTTCTCTTGCTAGTGACATGTGACTCATACAAATTCTAGCAAGTGCAAGAGTCCTGAGCAAGTGCTGAATGCCAAAACATTTTTCACATAAAATTGCAATGAGTACAGGATTTGACAAGTCCTGAAACTGTTGAGTACCAAGGTATGACTGTATTATAGACCTATAACACCTAAAGAATTGACATAAACTATGCATTATATATACCCACATATGATGTTTGCCATGTAGTAGGCATTATTTCAGTTGTGTGATACATTGGTTAAAAAAAGACAAAAATCTGTACAGTCTCAAATACGGGGTAGGCAAGAGTATGTTTACAGTTGTGAGTACACAAAACAATTTATTCTTGTATCATTTATTAATAAATGTATATCCATATGAACAACTGTATATTTACTTTTGCCCCCTGTATCATGTAGATATTAAACATTAGATACTGAACATTAAATGTAAATATAAGAAACAATGCATGGTGTTATAGAATATGGTAATGTCTATGGGAGGTAATAGTAGAGTTGAGTGCATGGAAAACAATTCTAAATAAGGTAGTCTAGTTAGGTGTCTTGAAGGAGAATGAGCAGAACCTTAAAACTGATGAAGGAGCCCCACACCTATATATGGCAAAAGAGCACTCCAGGCAAAGGAAACAGGTATACCAAGCCCCGAAGCAGAGGCATGTCTGGCATATTAAGGAATGGAAAAAGAACAGGTGTGGCTAGCTTTGGTAGGAGAAGCTAATAGAAAATGAGTTAATGGGGGCAGCTCACGTAAGTGTCACCTAACAACATCACAGTTTCATGAACTCTCAGTTACAATGTCACTTCTTCTGTGCAGTATCCTCAGAGTGTCCTAGACAAGGACATATCCCATTTTATGTGCACTTTCTAAAAATTTTAGTTACGTGGTATGACATTTACAAAAGTGCACAATGAACTCTTCCCCCTCCCTTGTTAAATAACATAATATTGGGACCCCCGGGAAACCCTGTGAACGCTTCTCAATCATCCGCCTCCAAACATGATGACTCTCTCAACCTTTGTCAGTACATTTTGTTTCGTGTGTGTTTGATACTTGTTCACATGAAACCATCCAGAACATGTCCTTTTTTACTTTGTTTCCTTCTTGAACATCTACATTGCTGCAGGAGGCTATGTTCCTTTTTTAATTTGGTGTTTTGGAGCCATTCTATAATATATTTATTCTTTCTACCATTGATGGTCATTTGGGTTCTTGATCATTGTGGGTTGTAATAATTAATGTTTCTATGGAGATTTCTGGGCACATTATTAGACATTTTGGGATTGCTTTTCTCCTTTGTATTTCCTAGGTTAGTATTTGGGATATAATAAAAGGTAATTAATATTTTAATTCATTAACAATAAAACAGATGTTCTCAATATCTTAGTTTGAAGCTTTGTTCTCAGCATTTCATTTTGAAGCTTTGAAATATTTTTCAGTGGAAACATTCTCAATGTTTCTAACCCTACACCAGTTTTCTTATTGTGCCTTTGTTTATTAGATTTGCTCTGTGTGTGTGTGTGTGTGTGTGTGTGTGTGTGTGCATGTTTGCTGACCGACATAACAAAATAGACAATGTTGCTGAAGGATAAACATGTCCCTAGATTCATAAAACTGATTTCTAGATTGGGTACTCCTATTTTTCAAACAGTTCAGATACGCTTGGCACAAAACCCATTTGTGAGCTTGATTTTACTATTGGTAGTCATAATAAATAGTCCTTACAACTGTTTATCCTTGAAAAAATCTCTGCAAAGGTTTTGTTTTCTCCTCACAAGATTGTTAATACTCTTTTCGATCCCTAACACAATAAAATAGCAAAATAAAATTAACCAGAAAAATAATCCCCCCAAATGGAAAAATATTACACTACTTTCTTGAATTGTCCAACACTTAGAATATTGAATTTGAGAATATAAATAGCTATGGAAGAATTTTCAGTTTTCTATAAAACTTCCTACTGTGAAGCAATGAATAAGAATAAATCAACTCTTTCTATCTCCTTCAAAAAATGAAAAGTCAAAATAATATGAAACTTATAAAATAACATTAATATTCTTACAAATTAATGGAAATGTTAATTAAGTTCAGAAGCATTTTCATAATATTCTATGTTCTTTTCTTGCCAAACTCTTTCTTCAAGATTTTGAATTCTTGAACTAAATATTGTGTTAATAAAACTGATAACTTGATGCATATTTCAATATACCATTTTCATGAGAGTTACAATGAAAGTAATTTGTTTTATCTTGAAAAATAAAATTATACTATCTACATAGAGTACATTTCTGTATATCTTCAACATGTCTAAATTGGTAGAAAGCTACATTTATTCTTTTTCATAATTATAATTGTTTTGGGTATAGGCATTTAGAATTATACTTAATAAGTAGCAATTATTATTAATTTAGTTTCTAATGTTCTCATGCACCTGTACTGCAAGCATGTAGAAATTGCATAATTTCCAGATGCAATAACAAAGGTCTCATGCAATTCAAAAAGAAAAAAAAAAAGATTTTTGTCAACATTCCCTGCATCGTGAGTTGATTTCCTTTTCCTTTCCTCCATCAAGAGCCGGATCCGCAGAATGTGGAATGACACGGTCCGAAAGCAGTCAGAGTCTTCCTTCATCACTGGGGATATAAACAGTTCAGCATCACTCAACAGAGGTAATTAGAAATGCTTTTTTCATATTTATTACTTTTGTGATTACTTTAAGAAGTTCTTGAATTCAATGCTTTATTTGTAACTTCTGGCCCTTTTTGCATGTGGTAGGAATATTGCAAGGATATAAAACCTGGTTGAGTGTAGCAGTGTGTTCCATTATTCATAAGCCTTTTTTCTTTCAATCCTGAATTTTCAGGAAATCTTTTCTGAGAGGAAGTTAGAAAACAAGAACTTTCTTTTTTCTAGTCATCTGCCACTGCTATAAACTGGTGAGCTGTCAAGCCTCGCTGGAAGCAGTGAAAATGGGCAATTATGTGGCTATATAGTCTGCTAAGCATCATAGAGTTCCACATTGTCCCACACATAGTGCAATTTCATAGTCTTTGTGGAAGTACAAATACACTGTCTAATACATACTTAAGGCAACCTGTGTACTTGGGGAAAAAAGTCACATCTAAATATCTAAAAGACTTATTCAGATAATATGCAATATTTAAAGATCTAAAAGAAAAATACTTTATATGTACATATATGTATATGTTATAATTTTTTTGTGTGTATGTGCTTCAATTAAAATATTCCTAGGGCATAATTCAATATTTTTAAATGAAGTTCACTTAATGTGCTATTTTGTTTCTGTTTTGTTTATGGTTGATTTATGTTTTATTCTTTCTCTCTCTTACTCTCTTATAGTGTGTGTGGGTATGTGTGTGTGTGTGTGTGATTAGAATTAATTTTACTGCAATAAAAATGCATAGATGCATTATTTGTGGAGAACTAGAATACACTACGGTCAGTGATGGCAAATATTTAGAATACAGTATAGTTTTTTATATAGGAAGGTGGTATTTGCGTGTTTATTCCAATCACACCATCTTAAAAGAGACATTTTTGATGCATATATTCAGAAGTTACTTTTATGATCAAATTGTTATTTTTTCTTACCAAGGTATGATTATCAGTTTGTTTTAAACCTGTGTCTGTCAGCTTCTTGTTACATTTAAAAAAAATTCTACATACAAATAATTTAATGAAGTTATAGTTTATGGTGAAGAAAGATTCACATGCTCATGCTCTTAAATTACTTTTACTCAAATTGTATCTTCTTTACATAAAAGAAGTTAGGACATGTAGCATCCCAAGATGAATTTGATACAGGGATCCATGTTATATATAACCTTAATTGACTTTCATGTTGCTTTGGTAGTGATAGAGTTACAATCATCTGGTGATGATGTTAAATACTCGGCATCACTTTTGCTTAGCTAAGAACAGAATACTAATGTACCTCCGAATATGAAGAAAATATATTAAAATAAATAATTTTGTGTTTATATTTTGTTTCATTATTAATTGATTTTTATTTGCTAGAATATATTGATTTACATACTATCCGCCAAGTGAATTCTCTTTTAACATTTAGTTTTTATTTTTTATTGTTAGTTTGTATTTATTTAAATATGAATACTTTTGACAAACTTTCAAATTATAGAGAACAAATTACTTAAAAATGCTTCCAAATTTTAAGAACTAATTTACTTCCATAATGACAGGTTTTCTTTATTTTTTTAGATAATCCCATCTAGAGAAAATTTACAGTATGTTCCTAGAAAGAAAACTATCTTTATTAATATGATTTATTTTCAGAAGTAACTTGCATCTAATGATTATAGAACCCATGGAATAATTGTTATTTAAACCAAAAATGAAATAATATGATTTTAAAGATGCACTGTTGATTTGCCTGCTATGATGATGAATAAAATATATAAAATTATTTTGTCTAGCAAAATGATCTAAATTTATGTAAAAACAATAAGGTATGTAAATTTAGCAAAACCTATTTTAAATGGTTAATTTTTATGACTTTCATTTTAAGGTCAATCATATTATATAATATTGCTGAGCCCTTTTTAGATCCTTTTCAGGAATTTTATCAACTTGGAATATATAAAATGTAAATGACTTGGTCAATTTGAAATATATTTATAGAAAATAACATTTTATATTAACTGATCTATTTTTAAAATCTTTAGTTTTAAAAGATATTTCTTAAAGTTACTGAAGAAAGTATAAAATTTCTTGTGATATCTGGTAAGTCCCTGTAACGATAACTTTGGGAGAGAATTCAATTGTATTTATGATTGAAGTGTGTCCAGGCAGCCATCTGCCCCTGCAGGATGTATGTGCTTCCTTTCACCCAGTGACTTTGATGGTGGTAGACATCATAGTGATCTTGATTTCCTGAATCAATTTTCTAGCTCCCCAAGTCAGAAACTCCTCACTTTATTCTCATCTCACTATTTTTTATCTTAGATGAGTGGAATACTTTAAAATTTTATTTCTTCATATTATATCTCTGAAGATAGTCTTTAACCTCCTTCTTTAATCTTGTCTTATTTCCCAGGGTCCTATCTCCCCTGCATTCAGGCGTGTGTATCATATTTAGGTACGTGGCATCCAAGATTCACCTTTCCAGATAAACACGTCAGCCACCTCAGCCACATAATTATTCACCTCTGTTTATTCCAAAGATCATATTCTCTATTATTAAAATAAAAATGTTAGGTACTGCATCTCTACATCTTCATATATTCTAACTTCCCATTCATTCTTAGTTTCTTACAGCTAGCATTTTTTTTTAACTCAAACTCCATTTTCCTTTCTAAGTTAGTTATATTAAATCTCTTACTTTTGCCTTTAGAACAGATCTGGCCTTTGAAAACCACAACACATTGTCTAAAAATTAGTCCTATTTTCACTGCAGGTTTTCTTCCCTATTCCTACCACTGCTTAATTCAGCAAAAGAATGATTGTTTCAAATTTCTGTATGGCATATCATCTATTCTTCTAAAAAAGAAACCATCATTATCATCCTTGGGATCCATTAAGAATAAAGCATCTACCATGCAGTGCAGATTCCTTCTCAATAGTTTTTATTTAAAAAAAAGACATTTCTAATGTTCTGTTGAACAATCTCGTTGCTTTCTTATATATCAGATTAGCTGTCTACATTTCCCAACGTGATAAACTTTATTACTATTGGGATTTTACTCCTTGGAATCATAGGAGACCCTGAAAGATTATTGATCATTTTCAATTTGTGTAATCATTCTTATATATTCTCTTTGGGATTGTGTCACTTGTCATCTCATCCCCTTAAAAACTTCCATTACATCTGCCCTTAGGATATCTATACTTATGAACATGATTTCCAAATGTTTCCTATACGTTTTCAAATATATTTTCCCCTGCTAACTTGTTTGCTACTATGTTACACACTCACACAGATCCAGAACTCCGAGCCCAATACCCTAGGACTACTATCAAGTTAACTTCTCCTATGCCACTGTATACACACAGGTAGAAGGACCTTTGCAGGAGACCTAAGGTGATGCTTAAATACAGAGTTTCAAGTAAGGTTAACTCTGATTGATCCAAACCCAAGTTTTCACAAACCCCACTGTAGGGCTTATTCAGTTGTTCACTTAAATATTTACTGTTTTCACACACCTCAAAGTCATTCCTCAGTCTTCAAGCTCCTTTCAGGTCTATTGGAAATCCAATCCAAACATCTAGTAGAGCTCCAATTTTGTGGGAGAAGTAGAAACAATACATAAGTAAAGTAATCTTTCACACCTGTACCCCTACCCACAATGCCTGCTGGCCCAATCTCCTCTTGCACAGTTTAGATTAACATTGCCTCTAAAACTTGAGTTTGACCCACACATCAATCATTTGCTGAGAAATTTCTCTGGTCATTTAATTAATTGTTAAATAAATATACTTTTTTGTAGATCTATGTAGAAATTGGGAGATTTTCTAAAATTAGAATTTATTAGGCTTTTTTTCATCATGAATAAAGTAATTGCAACACCCATTTTTTATTGTTAGCTGAATTGACGTCAGAAATTTCAGTATGAAATTAAGTTTTCCTAAGTAGCTGCTATCAGTACATTATGGATGTGTGAATTACAAAAAGGTGCTCCCACGTCCACCACAGTGTGGATTTATTGCAAAAACATGCCCCACCTGTGTAGCAGATTTAGCAAAAAGGTGTTTCTTCTTTTGGAACAGTGGCTTGGCGAGCGTCGTGGGCTTTTATTTCCCCTGCCTCTCATTGTCCATCTCATCAGCCTCCCACACAATGCAGCGTAGATTTTTATACATGGCAAGCTGACTGCTAACTCTGTACTTATTTAAGCCAGATCTAGGTGTTCTGTGGCAGAAGACTGATCTGTAGAGGTGCAGCACTTATTTATTAATGCTAATGCATTCTCCTATGGAGGTTCAGAGTCGTATTAATCTGTACCTACATTCTCAGTAAATACATGTAATCAGTAAACTTATGATGTCTTTTGGCAATCTTTTCATAAATTTTAAGGGTAAATTCAGACTCAGTGGCACATTACCTACTGAAAAATGATCTCCCTTGTTAGAAACATAGTAAATAAAAAGGAGAAAGATGCCATCAAATAGACATTTGAAAGTAGTTGACTTATGTACAATAGTTTTGATAATGGAGTTTAACCCAGAGATTTCAGTAAACTGCTTAACTTCTCAATAGCCATACACTGGGGATATAAATAATTCCCACTTCAGGGGCACCTTGAGGGCACTAAGTCAGTTAATGTGTGTTAATTGGTTACAACAGTGCCTGGAACATAAACCTTATTGTTATTATTTTACTCAGAAGTTTTTTATATTTTCTACAAATGGAAACTGGTTCTTGCCAGTGTTCTCAAGTAATCAGATGTTAAAATTTATCATTCAGTACTGAAGGTTTCCTTTCCTTTTTTTTATTTTCTAGTAATAGGTAGGATGAATGAGATTGTTGCATGAATACCAAGTAAAATAAATAATTTACCTAAAGTGTTGCTACCCTTGATGGTAACAAAAAGATCCGAACTAATAAAGTCAAATTGTCTCTTCTAAATCAGAAGTTAATCATCTGCCTTAGTTATACTTTTCACTTCTGATTTGTGACCCTGTGGTAGCACTT